GATTTATAGTCAACAGCCTGTGAATTTTCCTGGGGACGTCTAAATTTCGAGCGAAAACTCGACAAATTGTCAAGTGCATTAGCGACTTGCGCGTAAACGATAGGCGGAAATGGGGAAGAAAGGGAAAATATTTTTGTCGGTCTCCTTTCGTCGGATCACTGAATATGCATGATCACGCGGGTGCTGTATCGTAAAAGTGCCATTTCTCGTGTAATCCGAGCCGTTACGCGTCTCTTTTCTAAGTCTAAAATGGAATAAAATGGAAATTCATAAATCACCTCCCTCTGTTATGCCGTTACAAGTGCTACTATTAAAGGAAGTAAGTACTACCACCCACTTCCTATTTTTTTTCAACGACTTGGCAGAAGGATATCCCTTACAGGACTATTCGGGACGGTTTTACGCTCCAATTCTCACGACAGGATCGACCATTAAGCGATCTTTCTCGTTCCGTCGACCTTACCCGATATTTTTGCGGTCCGAGGTCAATTGGCAGAGTGCCGAAATTTCGGCCCGTGTAGACTATATTTTTATCGACATGGTGGCATCGGCCTAAATCATTCGTCGCGCCGGTAAATTCCGATAAGTCCTGCAATGGCATCTTCGAGGAAGATATTTCACCTTTATCCTACGGAAAGGAGCCTGCTCTTGGGGGGGCGCGGCGTTATCGAGCATCCCGATAAGGTCTGAAATTTTGACCTAATCTACACTTTTATCTGAATTGACTGTAATTATTCGTGTGGAGAATCGTGGATGAAAAAATTCGAGAACACGAAATTGATCTCGCCTAGTTTTTTTGGAAACTGCAGAGGGACACGAGCATGCTTCGAATGCGTCCTTAAAGGGATATTTGAGGATCTTTGGGACGAAGCATTAAGCATGAAACGATGAAACGTAGGTGCACCGTGCCCGGAACCTTGCTCCGGAGCTTGCAAACAAAAGTGTCAAATTTAAACGGAAAATAATACCTCGGCTCGGAATTTACGAGGCATACGTACGACACGGGTTGATCATTGCAGGGAGCTCTTGCGAGAATTGCACAGACACTCTTTTGAAAGTTCGCAAAGTGTACTAGAATGGTAAGTACTGCACATTACGCACGGCGAGTAGGACCATAAATGCATCAAGCCTCAAGTTTCGCACGAAGCTTGAGAACTGCATTGTACTGCAAGTTGCGAATTTGAATTTTTAAGCGGAGCCGTAAAAGATTTTCCCCCATTTTCAGTTAAGTACAAAGATGTTCTCGATTCAAACGAACGTTTTTAAATTTCCTATCCGTTTATCGTATAAAATCGATATGAATTAATTACGGAATCAGTTACTCATACATCCATGTGGCCCACGTTGAACATAAACGATGGCCAAATTCAAAGTCCTGGATGTAATTCGTATGACAACAGAGAAAGCTTTTCACCGAGCTCCGAACTCCAAATTGCATTGTGCCCGTTTCAATTAATTTGAATATCTCTGTAATGCTCGAATAAATCGTGACACGAACGAGAAAGAATTTGAACGTTAAAAAAAAAATCACCTCTCGCTGAATTTTCCCTCATTTACTGTATCTCTGGTTTCGAAGTGTTCTGCGCGAATTTCAATGAAACGTGCCATTCATCCGACCAGGGAAGAACACTTTAATTCAGCTCGTTTTTTAAATAACAAAATCATTCCCCCGATTATGGTGATAGATTCCCAACCGAGTCAGACATTCTCATAGCTAAAAAAAACCCTGATTATCCAAAATAAATCTAACACTCTCACTCCAGCAATTTGAACAACGAAACTCGAAAAAACAACGGCATCGTTGATTGAGTCGAAATAAATCGGCGCTTCCACAGTGATCAAATAAACACATTAATACACTCGTGTCGAGTATCGATAATTTTCACGGAGAATGTACAAAAAAAAAAAGAGTAGCATATTCAGTTTCGGCACAGAGTGCAGCTATCGATTGCACCGTTCCAGGCTGCATTCAAACATTTTCCTCAAATTATTTATTTTAGTGGACCGCGTGAAACGCGACCAGACGAGCTTACGCGTTCAGAATCCACTTTTCACAGTGATTGGCATTTCCGTCAGGAGCCGCTAATCATGTAGCGGGCTCCAGGAAGGGACTCGGGGTACTACGTTGGGAACCGTGACCGACGGGTGGTTCACGCACGTGTCTCGCGGTCTCGACGCACGCGAGCTCGGGAGCAGTCCGACCGGACAGATGCGTCGCACACGGAGCTCGGACGCCGACTGAGCTCGCGCCGGCCGAGCGCCTTTATAGTCAGACGCCCAGAGCCGCCGGCCTTATTTCGCCTAACGCGACCGGTGCGCGAGGTGCGTACCTATGCTGCCTCCTGCGCCAACTCTAATCTCCTCGCCCTTGCCCTTCGCATGAAACCGTGCGTACCTGCGCTCCCTCCTGCGCCAACCTTAAGCTTCTCGTCCTTGCCCTTCGCACGTAACCGTATTCCTATTAACAAGAAGAAACGTCAGTAAATCGGAAAAATCCTCGCAATAGCGGCACAAAGGGCGATCCAACCCATCCGTACTTAGCCTCGGTACTGCACCTTATTACCGAAGTTGCCAATTGCATCGCTAATTGGGGCCACCTACTTTGGTAACTTTGAAACGGCGCGACTTTGTACCGTTGATAAAACGCTCCTTAACGGTCGCTACGAGTGAATTGATACAGAAATGTTGAAATTCATTCCAAGTAATGTTACCTTAATATTACATTAGGCTGAAAGTTTCCCGTAGATAAGCAGCGCGACCTAGCGATGATTTATGTCCGAAGGTTTTGCGGGCTGGTAAAAAAAAGTATTCCGGCGGTAAATTCTGCTTTTGTAGGTCAGGAACGTTTATAGACCGACAAGAACTTCCTACCCGGCGAGAATGCATCGCCCGACGGAAATGTTCTTGTTACGCTGATATCAAGCGAGGGCCAACGTGGATTGAAAATTTATAATATCGATCAACCTAGGGGCGATAGTACGGTATCTGAGCATAAAATCGCCCTGTTGTACGATCTACAATATCCCGTGGCAGTGCGCGGATATTTATTCCAGGTTTGATATTTAATGAAATACTTAAACTGATTTTCTGGTGAAAGGAATGGGTTATACCAAACGCTGCCGATTTTGCAATTTAATTCGTAAACCGACATTGATTTACAGCGCTTAAAATACTGTGCCAGGCCGTGAAATTCCGTTCAAATTTGAATGGCACCGATAGTGGTAAAATCGGGTTTTTTGACAAATCGAAAGCACGAAAAAGCATTGTGGGTGTACCGGTGTTATCGACAGCTCAGTTTTTACTCCTTCGATGCTCGGCTCCGTGAAACCGTGTTTTAATTTTCCCTCTCTCCTCTCCTATTATAAGGGTTGAAAAGCAAGGCGTAATCGATGTATTTGAAATACTCGGTAGTTTCTACACCAGCGTAAAAAAAAAAAAAAATAGGAGCATCCCGTTGTTTAGTGATGGGCTTTTAATTTGGAGTTCAGCCTCGGATATATTCCGTAACGTCATTGATCGAGTTTATCCTCGGTTGGACTGAAACGTACATCAGCTCGTGAACCATCCTAGTCTAGGTTAAGCTAGGTTTCAATAGGCTAGGTTCTTGTACCGGACACATGACGGGTTCCCTCGTAATTGGTGCAATTATTTCCCAGACATGCACGTCGGTGGAGTCGACAGTTTGTAAATTAAACATCGACGAAAGCAAAACGCTGCGGCACTGAACCCGGCGCCAACTTGAAAACTCCTCAAATCGGAATTTTATCATTTGCTCTAGCAAAATGAAAATCATTCGTCTTGGCGATAAGAATGAAAAGTACCCAGAAAATCATTAAACGCGAATACTACTGAATAAATAAAGAAAGATTTTCTCTGGTTTTCTCTATCACTCGTATATGCAGAATTCCGTCTACGAAAGGATGAGCTATTCAAGCGAATAGATCTGATTAAATGGACCGCTAGTAATTGCCGTTAATTTCTGGCGGGGCTTACTAATAAGTAGCTTTCAAAGTTCCACGACATATTAAGTTAAGCCATTCCGCATTTTACTATTTTATGTACCCTTTTGCGACTGAGCGGGAATTGCAATCGCTTTCGCATTCCGGACAGTAATTATAGGGTTCATTAAGTTCCTCTTAAAATCGCTGTAAAAAGAATCCCCTTGAAAGCGACGCATTTACCCTAGGGTTCGGTCCGTCTGAGAAATGCGACTTCAATCGTCTCGAGCTCAATTTTACTAGGAGCTTTCTGCGAACGGAATTAACCTCCCATGAATAAATATTAGTGGACACTAATTACCCGTTACATACTTTAATCGTACCATTCCTCTAAATCTACGTCAAAATCTAAATACGTTTCCGTAGGTATGAAGATTTAGATATAATATTGTTAACTACTGTACCAAGATGTCAATTTCTGATAGTTTCGCAGGACAGATGTAGACAATGGCGTCTTCTGCAATTCTCGTCGTAACAGGTCGCTGCAGGTTTAAATTTGCACTCAAAACCGCGCGAGCCGTGCCGCCATCTGTCAGGTGACTTTTGAAACTAGTAACAAATTATTTCCTACCGTTAGGTAACGTAGATACCTAGATATCTACTCATGCTTCCAGAGATGACACGGCGATCTACTTCGTCCTTTTCCTCTCCAGTTTTCTAGTCTTTCGGAGTTACGCATACGACGGTGCATCATTGACAGCAGAGATGAGTTGGGAGATTGCTCCCGGTTGTGCAATTGCGAGTACTCGCTCGTACCCGTTCGTACCCGCTCTACCCTATATACCGTCAGCCACCACCGTCAACTGCCAGATGGTATTACCATCACGAGTGCGTGAACCGCCAGCGGCGACTGTTAGATGGCACAGCCATCGCGAGTGTGCGAACCCCCACCAGAAAAAAGTTGCGCCGTCATTGAGGGTTAACAGGTGGTAAGTGCGTTAGCCGTCCGCATCCTCCACCGAGGGGCAGCACACGTCACATAGCGCGACCCTGCCTGTGAGCAATCTCCCAACTCATTTTTGTTGACAGTTCCTCTTAGTTCCTTTGCGACCTTTGTAGTGTGAATTCGGGTTTGATGTAAAAGTTCATAAGGGGAATATCCGTCTTCCGTCTTGGAAGCTGAGTCGACGAGTACCGGATAGTTTCAATTTTTGTGATATCTCGCGAAACTTGAATTGCGGACGAGTAACAAAAGCGATGGATTTTTGCATTTGCGTGACATAGCATATGTGTGCGAAAGAGAGAGTAAACGGTGGTTACATGCCAGTGAATGAAGAGATATAATAACGAGATAGAAGGAGAGTCGTTTATGGTATTCACGTTGATGTGAGAGAGACCGAGAGCGCGGCCGCCATGATGGAATAGGGAGAGAGCGAGATAGATACACCGGTGGAAGAGAGGGGTGGGGCGTTTCGTTTGTGGGAAAAATCACAGATTTTTCTACAACAATGTTCGAGCCCGACGAGGAGGGAAAGGTAAGGATTTCAGGCGGTGTATGAAGTTAGAAATCTACTTTCTAGCCGGAAAGGGGGAAGACTTCGGAAACATAGACAATGTGAAAAAATCTCGGCCGAATACATGACCTACTGTCGATTGTAAACAACTGCGTTTGAAACTGAAATATTACAAGATGTGTATATGAGCGTGTAATTGAAATGGCGATCTATGTTGGAATTCCTGTTAATAAAATAGTAATTTGACATATGGGTTGATAATTTTTATCTGTATTACGATGGAGTGCATTATAACGTTGTGATATATTATTAATCGTAAAAGGATGTAACTTTTCATTAAATTGTTTGCCCCCTGTTTATGACATTAACAGTATCGATGATGCTTCCTATTTCAGGATCTCTGTATCCATACTGGTGTTGTCCTCAGAGGTGCAAACACTAGAGAGGATGAAGTACACAGTTCGGGAACGTTGAACATCGTTGAATACGTAAGAATCGGTAATATTCAGTTGTATGGTTGGATGTGTTGAAACATATTCCATTTTTAGAGCTTTGGAAAGTGCATCGAATGGAAGCCAATAGAAGTGTCAGTAGTCTCGGAGAATCAAGACCAAGACCCGGAATGGTCCTTAGTAGATTCTCATACAAGAAGGACCAGAACCTCGTCCGAAGGTCCTGACTCGTTAGGACGAACAAAGGCCGTCCGGATTCTTTTTTCGGATCTTAAATCCTTCCGAATTAATTACGGAGGTCAACAATTGATTTTCATGCAAAGAGATGGCACCACATATGTGGCCTTTTTCCAGTTGTCAAATGCAGAAAGTTTCGTCAATTCTTTAAAGGGTTTTATTAACTTTGTCAAATCGCGAATGGACAAAAATATGTATTTAGTATTAGACGAAGTTAACTCAGTAGTGAAGAGTTTTTCGGAGTTGGATATTTTAGGGGAAAACACATCCGATTATGTGTGGAAGTTTGTTAAAAATCTTCAAAACCATCCTTACGAGACCACACTCGAGACTTTCAGCAAATTAGCTGACATTTGGAGTGAGTCTAAATTTCATTGGATGAAATTACTTTTCTTCAGTTAAGGATAACAAATGCATCATTAATGTCATCCTATTGTACTTTGCTACAAAGATGCGTTCCTTCTACTTTTAGTCTACAAAGAGCCGGTTAAACGACCGGTAGAAGAAGCTGTAGCAGATCTTTTAAATCGTTCTCTCACAATAGATGTCCCACCAACAACGGTCTCCATGGATTCGGGTGAAGAATATGAAGTCATAGGCGAATCAAGGATTGGCATTGTACTTCCTCCTCGGCCACCCTGTCCACGGGGTAATTATTGTACATATTTTATAACATTAACCAATCCTAGATTTGCGATGTACAAATTAATATAGTTTTACTAAATGTTATTATATCAGGTGCTTCTTTGACGGAAGATCAATGGGAAAGATATAGAGATAAGGAAGGAAGAGTTACCGATCCAGATGCTGTCAAAGAAATAATATTTCGAGGGGTTTGTTTTTATAATTAATTTTTATCATCTGCACTTCAAAAGGAACAGGGAAAAGATGTTTCTGTGGTTAACTTAATTTTTTTCCCTGACAGGGTATAACTCCATCCTTGCGATATCAAGTATGGAAATTTTTGTTAAATTACTATCCATGGAATTCGACAGCCATGGAAAGAATGGAACTCAGAAGGAAAAAGACTGAGGAATATTTTACAATGAAGTTGCAATGGCGATCCATGACTATTGATCAAGAAACCAGATTTTCCGGCTATCGTGATCGCAAGAGTCTTATAGGTAAAATAAATATTGTTAACTCTTTTCAAATGTCCAATGACGCATGAAATGGCAACTATGTCTAAAATGTTTTTTATAGAGAAAGACGTAAATAGGACTGACAGAACTCACCCTTATTATTCGGGTGAGAACAATCCTCATGTAGCTCAACTGTATGATGTTTTGATGACTTACGTTATGTACAATTTTGATCTGGGATATGTACAAGGTATGAGTGATCTACTCAGTCCAATATTATGTCTAATGGACAGTGAACCCGACGCTTTTTGGTGTTTCGTCGGCTTTATGAACAAAGTGGTAACTAAGAGAAAAAAAATGCTGACCACTGACTTAAATGACTTTTCAATGTTAATATGATTTATTATGATTTTTCAGAGTACAAATTTCGACATGGATCAAGCAGGCATGAAAGCACAGCTTTGTCAACTCCACGCCCTGCTTCTTATCACGGAGCCACAATTGTCTCAATACTTGGAGAAAAATGACTCCAGTAACATGTTTTTCTGCTTCCGATGGTTATTAGTTCTCTTTAAAAGAGAGTTTAACACTGTGGATATAATGAAGCTCTGGGAGATTCTGTGGACGGATTTACCTTGCAAGAATTTCCACTTATTAATCTGTGCTGCAATTTTGGATACAGAAAAGTCAATACTCATGGAGAATCACTATGGCTTTACCGAAATCTTGAAGGTTTATATGCAAACATCGTTATTTTAATTTCAATAACTCTCGCTAATATTGTCACTTCAAATGATCGATACTATTTTTTGCAGCACATCAATGACCTCTCCCTGCACATTGAGCTACCTTGGACTTTATCTAAAGCTGAGGGAATCTATCATCAACTGATGTCTATCGGACCTCATCTGCCAAATAATATTCGAGCCATAATTGGTCTTGAACCATTGATCAACAGTGAATCCAGTGACTCAGAGGATGAACCATTAAATCTTACTCATTCAAACGGTGAAAGCGATCAAGCGATCGCTTCTAATGGCAACGAGGACGGAAACGTCAAAATCGGCAACGATGAAGTGTCTTTCGAACGTGGCTTAAATTTATCATACATGTGAGAACAAGACTGTCCTTCGTTACAAGTCCGTAACCTTGTCGCAATGAGTCTATGAAAACTACAAAAACGTGGAGGGTTGTGCCATGTAAAAGTACTGAAAATTTAATTTTAAAAATGTTTGAAATACTCAATGTTTCATTTCATAGTGCTCACAAATTCAATACGTGTACAAAAATTGAAGAAACATTTCTACTTGTACAACTCTTTATGTTAAGTTTATTCTTATTTCATTTGCATAGTAAAAAATTGTTTTAAATCATTTCTTTAAATACCTAAATTTGGTACAACCCTTGCAATTAGCTCATTAGAAAAATAGTTGAGAAACAAATATTTTAACATGGTATTTAAGACCAAATTTACAAGTTCGGGGTATGAGAAAAAGTTTTGAGTACCGTTAGCTTACACTTTATTGACTTGAGGCAAGATTAAGAAATTAATGTTGACAGAGAGACACATGAAAGTTAGTTTGTTCCTGCATAGCTGCGCCGAAGGATACGCTATATTTCAATTGTTTGTCAATGCAATTATTCATACATTTGAATATTGAAATATTTATCTAAATATGAAGCGTCCAGTTAGGACGAGTCTATTGAATGAGAAAGATCGTTTTGGGTAAGGTATTTCAATCGTAACGAAATATCAGGTTTTAAGGACATGTCGGTGAGATCAGTAAAACACATGTATAAAGATGGTCGAACTTAAATTCTTACAAAAAAAAGCTTCCACTTTTTAATCCATTAATTTTATACTAGTTACCTACGTCCTAACAAAATCCTGCAGAATGTACATTACACAGATCAAAGGTCTTAACTCGATATCAGAGATGAGTTGGGAGATTGCTTATGGAATGGGTCGTGCGAACGCGTTCTGTGCTGCAATTGATAGAGGATGCAATCCAATTCAGAGAAGAGGAGGTTCCCAGAGTTAGGCAGGCATTGGGGGAGAGTTATTAGATGGTAAGTGCGTAAGCCGCTCGCATTCTCCACCGAGGTAAGCACAGAACGCGATCGCGCGACCTAGCCCGTAGGTAATTTTCTAACTTTTCATCTCTGACGACCAGAGACAGAGATGAGTTGGGAGATTGCTCACAGGCAGGGTCGCGCGATCGCACCGTGTGCTGCCCTCTGATTTCGTACGTTAGCTTTCCCCGTTTTTTTCCCCCAAGGGCGGCGCAACGAATTTCTGGTAGGGGCCCGCGCAATCGCGATGGCTGTGCCATCTACCAGTTGCCGTTGGCGGCTCACGTATTCGCGATGGTAATACCATGCG